GACACACTGTTTAAATGAAAGATGGATTTATTGTAAATATAAAATAAAAACCTTATGGAAAAAAAGAGAATATCTGTAGTGCAGTGTTCAACGGTGGGGTCCTTGGTGCTCTCTGAACTTGGTTGTTTTCTTGTAGATGTTTCCTAACTATATAACTTCATAAGTGCTGGAAGGGGGGGGGGGTATTTGCAGAGATAAGGAGAAAAAGAAGGAGGAGGAGAGGAGGAGAAGGACTGTGGTGTCCTTGGTGCTCTCTGAGCTTGGTTATTTGCTTGCAGTCATTTCATTACCCAACTAGGTAAACCTTCAGTGCTTAGAAGATGCTTAGAAGGGATTGTAACAACCTCTATGTAGGACAGGCAAGAAAAACACTAATAACACATTGATGAACACCAACTAGCAGTCAGAAGACATGATGAAAGCTCCTTAATTGCACAACAATGGACAGACTTGAGTGGGCAACCTAGATCAAATCAAGTTCAATGTGAATGAAATTCCCGATAGTCTTACTTGCTGAACAGTTCAGTGCGTGTCGAATTGATGGCGAAATCCACACTGCTGATGGCTTCCTGGATGGAGGTGGCTACAAAGGTATCTCCGCTCCTTCTGATGTTCGTGGCTTTGTTTTCCCGGTGAGAAAAAGAAAAGAATAAGACCATAATTAGTTTAATGGGTTCATTAAAATTAAGGAAGGGCTCATTTGACTAGCATCTCAACAACTTCAACTCCCAGAATTCCTGAGTTAACATGACTGGAGGAGGAATTCTGGGAGTTGAAGTCCACAAGTCTTAAAGCTGTCAAGTTTGAAGATCCCTGTTGTAGGTAAAGCAGGTACACCTCGCTTACTGAATGCTTGGTGCAATGGCTGTTCAACGTTACAACCGTTGAATAAAAAACAACTTGGCAACCAATCCTTGCATTTATAGCCAACCTAGCATCTCATGATCATGTGATCTCCCTTTGCGACAAACAGTTAATGGAGAAGACCATGGCAAAATTGTAATTCGTGTTCACGTGATCTTAATGATAAAGATAACCACAATCATACAATCAAAGCCCTGCCTCTTTTTGTGCACAATCACTTACAATGCAGGTTTTTAAAAAAGGGCAGGTCTTCAGTTACCTTGTTGGCCATGCTCTTAACATATTTTTTTCCCAAGTTTTATTAGATTTTTATTATTTTTAAGTATACATCAATATCAATGCATGGGTGTAATTCATTCTGATACAAACATCAATAAAGATAATCATAACAGTTGTTATATTAATCAAACATATAATCCTAGTATTAATAATATACATGGGGTATTTTGGGAGTCATTCAATATTTCAATGTTCCATTTTAATGCCAACAATATAAGCACACGTGGTAATACTGTCTTTCAACCTCTGATCTTTTCTATCAAATTCTTACTTATATTCTGTTATACAAAAATTATAACTGCTAATATTCTCCCTGTTTCTTATTTCTACCTCTATTCTAGCTCCTAATCAGGTCCATTGCTAATCCTAGTATTAATACACATGTTTACATTAAGACATAGTCCTTCATTATTTGGTTGTTCAAAGTCACAATACGTCGTTCAAGTATCACTCTTCCTATTATTTAAACATACCTAATAATACAGTACCATCTTTCAACAGTGTTGAGGTAATTCCCCGTTAGGAGAATGAGTGCATGCAGGAAGACGTAGTGAGAGAAGTGTTTGAATAATACACACACAGCACACGGATACACTGTGCAGTTAATGTAGGTTTTTACTTTCAATAAACGTTTAAGCAAAGTCAACACAGTCCAAGTCATTCACCGGTAAAGCAGTCAGTGTTCAGTCCAAGGATAATTCCAATATCAAAGTCCAGTATCAAAAACAATTCAGTAACAGACTTACATCAAACCCAGGAATAACAGTCAATTAGGGAAAAATGGAGGAACGGCAAAACTCTCTCCAGCAGAAGGAAACAGAGACTCACTCACACTCTCTTCCCAGGTTTCTGGCTCCGTCTTATGGCCATTTGCAGAAGCACACCCAATTGCAAAGTTTTTGCAATCTCTTAAAGACATAGTACTAAAATGTCTATCCTGGTTTATATATTTCCAACCCAAATAGCTGTTAGGTGACTTATATTCCTAACAAACGTCCAATCTTTTCATCTAACTCTTGCTTCATATAAAGGTGTGCATTCCTATTTCTACCTCCATTTGCCATGCTCTTAACATTTTGATGCTCCCTCTCCTTGACAGGATGTTACAAGGGCTCTAGAAATCTCCTTCCTATCTTCCCTTCTAGGCAAAAATGAAATAAAATCAGTTTTGAAGGAAGGAGGCTTCCTTTTCTCTTACCGATGATGGTTAGCTGCATGGCCCTGGCAGTTAACCCAGAGCTACTCCTGGCTATACATTCGTATTGTCCTTGATCTGCCAGCCCCAAATCTCGGATGGATAAAGTACCTTCCTGGCTGATGTGGAACTTCCCACTCTCCGTGATCTGAATCTTGTCCTGGGGTAGAAAAAAGGAAAGAATCTGGAGCACGAATAGAATTTGGTCTGGTGGGGAGACCACGATCTGGTTCATAGTCATCCACCAAGGTCAAAAAAGTCAAAATGGCACCCGCAAGTAGAGCCACAAACTCAGTTTAATGTATTACATCAACCAAGTATAAATATAAGTAGCCCTCGACTTACAATCACAATTGAGCCCAAGATTTCTCTGGCTAAATGAGACACTTGTTAAAGTGAGTTTTGTCCCATTTTACGACCTTCCTTGCCACAGTTGTTAAGTGAATCACTGCAGTGAATAGTAATCCAGTTGTTAAGTGAATCTGGCTTCTCCACTGACTTTACTTGTGAGAAGGTCGCCAAAGGGGACCACATGACCCTAGGACACAGCAATGGTCATAAGTATGAGTCACTTGCCAAGCATCTGAATATTGATCACACGGGGTGGGGTGCTACGAAGTGTGAAAAATGGTCAAAAGCCACTTTTTTCAGTGCCGTTGTAACTTTGAACGGTCACTAAATGAACTGTTGTAAGTCAAGGACTACCTGTATAAAATGAGTGGCCATATAAATGTTTTAAAAATAAATCCACTATAATGATTTTTGGGACCCTCCTGGCTCCAATCTTGAGATAATATGGAGTCTTGAACTGATAACTCTGGCCAGGCCTGTCTTCCTTTGAGCCAAACACAACTGACAGGGATACTTTTAAAATTTAATTATATAGATACTTTCATTTTCTTGCAGATCAATGCTTATCTTCCCAGCTCTTCTTTCTCTTCCCTGTCTAAAAAGCAGCCGCAGGATTTCCTGTGGGTGTCCTATCCAGGTTTAATGTGCAATCCTGCCAGACTTTTTGCAAAATCAGTCCAGGATGGCAAGGGACTAGCCCTCACTGAATTTCAGCTTGCATAAGTGTGTCCCGAGTCATGAAACTGAAACAAGAGGTTAGGGTTTAGGGCACGGGTGGGATGCAAATATTTTTGATACTGGTTCCGTGGGCGTGGCTAGGTGGGCATGGCCACGGGACTGGGTGGGCGTGGCTTCTTTTTTGTGTGTGTGTGCAGCACCCCTCCCCCAGTGGTCCATTTTTTTCTTTTGCTTCCTGGGCCTCAGGAAGCTTTCCGGGGGGAGCGTTTTTGCTCCCAAGAGTGAAAATTGGACGTAGCAGTAAGACAGCAAGGGGGAATCCCGGCATAGCCGATCATTGGAACAGCTGTGTGTCAGGAGGAAATAACAAAAAAGAAATACCGGTTTAGTCTAATCATCGACTAAACATTTTTTACTACCGGTTCGTGCGAACCAGGCTGAACCAGTAGAATCCCACCCCTGGGTGAGGGCTAGGGGTTAACAGCAGCAACTTTAAAACACCCAGGTTGTGCAGCTCTGACACACCGGCAACTCTGTTTCCTGAACGTGACCAGTAGATGTCACTAAAGGTACTGTATATTCAAGAAGCACAAAAAAATACTATGCATTACAGATAGTCCTCCATTTACAACCGTTTGTTTAGTGGCCGTTCAAGGTTATAACGGCACTGGGAAAAAGTGACTTATGACCATTTTTCACATTTACGACCGTTGCAGCATCCCCGTGGTCACGTGATCAACATTCAGAGGTTGGCAACTGACCTGTTATTGATGACGATTGCATTGTCCCGGGCTCAAGCGATCCCCTTTTGCGTCCTTCTGACAGGCAAAGTCAATGGGGGAGCCGGATTCATGGTGTCACTAACTTAATAGTTACAGTGATCCACTTAACAACCATGGCAAGAAATGTCATAACATAGAACAAAACTCACTTAACAAATGACTCGCTTAACAACAAAAAATTTTGGGTCTTCCTCTGAGGCAAACTTAACTTACATGGACACTTTTTAATATTTAATTATATAGATGCCGTCATGCCCCTGGTGGAGACTGACTCTGAGGGAGAGGAGGAACAGGCAACAGGGAGTGGAAGTGTGGCTCTGGAGGTTGGGGAGGAGGCTGGGGAAGGGCAGAGGCCGGCTGGGCAGTCAGAGGAGGACCCAGGCCCATCCCCTCTCCATCCTAGGGCATGCAGGGAGGAGAGGATAAAGGAGAGACATGGTCTATGGCAGAGGAAAGGGCCTTGATCCTCTTCATGGGCTGCAGCTGTGACAACTGGATAAGAGAACGGACATGCGTAGGGGCCAGTGCTGGAAACAAAGCATGGAAATATCTCTAGTTTTTTGTTCCTCTCTGAGTTTGGCGTCTTTCCCAGTGTGTTCTGATATCTGTGGACATCTTCAAGCCTTTATCTTGCTTAGTTTGTGTTGTTTTTTACTCTTTATAATTTATAGGCATTTTTAGTTTAAAAAGCATTTCCTCCTTCTTGTAACTGCTCGTATGGGAAATTTTTTTTTGTCTCCAATCAAGGATATTTGGAGCTTGGAAGCAAAGTGAAGGAATAAAAGGGGCTTTACCTGTTTTTCATGACTGTTTATTTTGTATCCCACCCTGGGTCGTCACAGACGCTTTCATTTTCTTGACAAAAATGAAATAAACTATATTGCATATCTCCCACACCCTTCTTTCTCTTCCCTATCTAAAAAAAAAACAGCCCCAGGATTTCCTGGTGGCGTCCTATCCAGATTTAATGTGCAATCCTGCCAGACTTTTTGCAATATCAGTCAAGGCAAGAACTGTCATAAAATGGCCCCAAATTTGCTTAACAATTGTCTGGTTTAGCTACAGAAATGTTGGCTCAACTGGGGTCGTAAGTCAAAGATTACCTCTATATCAGTATTTCTTAACCTCTATAGCTTTAAGATGGGTGGACTTCAACTCCCAGAATTCCCCAGTTAGCATTTCTGAAGGCACCAAGCTAGAAACCAGGAGAATGTGAGTTCTAGTCCCACCTTAGGCATGAAACCTGATTGAGTGACTCTAAGCCAATCACAGAAGACTTGTGAGTTCTGGTCCTGCCTCAGGCACCAAAACTGGCTAGATGATTTTGGGCCAGTCCCTCTCTCTCAGCCCAACCCACCTCACAGGATTGTTGTGGCAACAATACGACGAAGGAAGAGGGTCAGATATGTTTGCTGCCTTGAGTTGTTTATAAAAGCAATCAACGGCGGGATATAATTTAAATAAATAAAATAGAGAGGCAAACAGAATTTGCTCCTCCTTCAAACTAAGACATCCCCATTTAACATCAGAAGCCCACACACTCAATGTCCCCCAGCCCTACACGAAAGGCGATCCTGTTTTTGTTAAGTGATAAACCATCTGACCTTTGCCCATGTTATCGTTGGCTGTGGGTTCCCTTGGGCGGTACAAGGGATCTCAATGTCTTGGCCGACTTCTGCAACCGTATCTTGAGGCGGATGAAGAAATACGGGCATAACTGTTTAGGAAAGACAGAGGGGGAAGTGAAAGCACAGAGTCAGGTTTAACCGGTGGCATGGCTGGTCTCCAGAAGTTGTGGGTGCTCCATCACTGGAGGCTTTTAAGAAGAGACTGGACAGCCATTTGTCTGGAATGGTGTAGGCAGGGTCTCCTGCTAGAGCAGGGGGTTGGACTAGAAGACCTCCGAGGTCCCTTCCAACTCAGTTATACTGTATTCCGCATTTAATTGGGGAATAGAAGTTAAGGGAAGACTTGTCTTCCAGATGGGTTGGCCATGACCGTTGTTGAACTGCAAACGTTCTGGAGAACACTAGGTTGGGGAAGACCAATTTCAAGGCCGACTCGGATTCTATCAGTTCTTCTCGCCGCTTGACGACAGGAACAGAAGCGAGAGGGTGGGATTCTTAGGGGAGTTGGGATGGACTGGGGGAATTCAAGTGAGCCAGGCTGAGCCTGGGAAAGTTCCTACACTTCAAGGTCACGTTCTGATAACTTTTCGAACTGGTGTGGACTGTTTCTCAAAACACGAAGAACGTGTTGGATCGATGGACAATGGATAGTGGGTGGGTGGGAGAGCTAATGGGGAAAAGGGGAATTTACCTAGGCTGTTTTCCACGGGAACCTTTAGAACTGGCTTTGCTTCTTCTGTGCCTATATGGATCTATCAGTAAAGGGTAGAAGGAAACCAACTGGCTGGGGAAGATGAGATCAGGAAGACGTTCGCCTGTACACTTACCACGTGGGGTGACCTCGAGGCTCGCAGAAAATCTCTGGGCTCCAACTGCATTGATAGCATGGCACTCATAGTGGCCTTGATCATGAAGGGACACTTCGACCATCCGCAGGGTTCCCGTGGAGAGGATGCTGTATCTCCAACTGTTTGGTAACGGACCACCTATGAACAAGAGGGACCAACACGGTGTTGCTGAAGAAATCCTCCCATGAACTTTGACCTTCACAAAGGGATGGACAAGTCGCAAAGGTGCTTTTTCGAAAGGCAACTGGACTTTGTTTTTTTTTTTCGTGAAGACGTTTCGCTTCTCATCCAAGAAGTCTCTTCGGTTCCGACAGTCAGAACCGAAGAAGCTTCTTGGATGAGAAGCGAAACGTCTTCAAGGAAAAACAAAGTCCACTTGCCTTTTGAAAAAAGCATCTTTAACCTGGGTGACTGAGAATCTCCAGGGCAAGCTTTCCTTGAAACCAGTTGGGTCCAGTTGATGAGAATGGATCGTTAATTTTAAGGTGTCCACCCTGGATTTTTTTCAATGCGAGGAACATCACACTGGGCCTTGATGCTGAGCCTCCAAGTCCAGCTGTAACTCTCCTTTGATCTTCTTCTCCAAGAAGCAATGGTGCTCTTCCAAGGTTGCAAGCAGAGGTGGGTATTCAGCAGGTTCTGACTAGTTCTGGAGAACCGGTAGCAGAAATTTTGAGTAGTCCAGAGAACCGGAAAATGCCACCTCTGACTGGAGATTTTACAGTATCCTTCCCCTGCCACGCCCACCAAGCCACGCCCACAGAACCGGTAGTAAAAAAATTTGAATCCCACCACTGGTTGCAAAGTATTTTCTAGGTAAATATGGGTTAATTGGGGGGATGAAAAGGGAAAAAATACTGCAGGTGGTCTTCTGAACTTGAGACAGGGGAAAGAGAGAGAGCAGGAGTGGACTAACCAGTGATTGGAACTAGCTACTAGAAATGCCTACTTTAGATCAGGGGTCTCTAAGCTTGGCAACTTTAAGACTTGTGGACTTCAACTCCCAGAATTCCTCAGCCTGCTTGAGGAATTCTGGGAATTGAAGTCCACAAGTCTTAAAGCGCACAAGTCTTAAAGTTGCCAAGGTTGGAGACCCCTGCTTTAGACGATGCCCTTGTTTGAAAGTTAGGAGGATGGACAAAATTCTTTGGAGATGCTGGTGGAAATTAAAAGGAGAGGTGAAAGACCTGGAAACCTGAAATCAAGTCCTATAAGGAATAGTTTAAAAGATTATATTAAGTCAGGGGTGTCCAACCTTGGCAACTTTAAGACTTGTGGACTTCAACTCCCAGAATTCCTCAGCCAGC